AAGATAACTGAAGTTATTTAAACCTATCAATATAGTATAAGAAATCTATTACGAGTAAAATACCTGCGTAAAACTAAAAAAGTGCTGAAAGACTAGCCTGTTTAAACATTAAGCTTTGGCTGGTAACAGTGTCCGTAATTCTACTAAACCTCAGGTCCGATATTTGTTGCCATCCAGGACTTCTACTTTCTACACAAAGGCGTGAAAGCTAATAAAAAACTACGTTGAAATATGATAACAAAAATTCAAAAAACTTTATCAAAAATACCAGCAGTGCTTTTTCTGCTTCTGAAAAAAAAAATACGAAATAACCAAAAGGTAAGTAAAGTACCATGAAACAACCGCCAAATGCACCAGAATCAAAATGAACTTCGACCGTGTTTATGTAAAGCGACATCCCCTCAACAACACGGTTAGCAAAGCCATAGGAATTGTCAGAAAAAGAACTAAAAAAATTAAGATTTACTAATCTGATGAGTCTAGTTAATACAACTTAAAAGTCTATTATGAAACTGGACCATCCACTGTTTGAAAAAAAAAAACTCACCTTAATGGATTAGAACCATCAGACACGAGCGGCTCAGAAGTTAACTCTACTTCAACATTGATTTCATCGATAAACTAAATAAAGCAAATCAGAAATGTTCAGTTTTACAATGTTATCTTGATGCGCAGAAAAAAAAAAACAACCCGTAATGTGTGCTCACCAATTGTATTGGCGAAGACCTCAATCTCGTCCACGGCACTCTAACCGCCACTCTGTTGCAAAAAGCTTTTCGGATACGAAGCCATGTCGGTAACTCCAACACCTTAGCAAAAAATAATGAAAGTGACTTATACGACGCACAATCAGAAATTCCAAAAGTTTTATAACATTTATAAAAAGAGTAAAATAACAAAATAATTCCTCAATTACCTCCGTGAGAACAACTTCATTAATCTCAATATTCTTCAGCTCACCCTTTCCGCTCAAAATTTTAACGTCAATTTGATCTGCTGCAATGTTGCGAGCAAACCTGAAAGGTAGTTTACTCATCAATTACAGATAAACCATCAACTAGAATGCTTCATCTCAAATAAAAATTTTAAAAAAGAATCAAGATAAAAATTATGTAAAAAGAATAAAAAACAAGAACTGACTTGGACAAATGCTTGATAATCTGGTTTTTAATAAGACTAGTCATTGTTAATGAGGCGTTAACTGTCTACCGGTAATTCATAGTGCAACCCATGATATGCTACTACAATAAAACGCAGAAGTTTTGTTTCTTAATCAGACTATATTTTAAGGAAATTGGAACCTGCTTACGCTTAAAATATACCGTAAATTGCAACATACAGCAAACAACAACCTACACTAATTCACACATAAACAAATATCTAGTTCTTTGATACTAGGCACTTCCAGAAACAAAGAAAAGCTAGCAATTCAGTAAAAAAAATTAAAAACCATGAAAAGCGAATAACTACTATATATATTTTACAGTACATAACGAGAAAAAAAGCAACATATATTTAGACAAATGATGCATTGGTTTAACATTCATCAAGAAAGAGCAAATAAATGCAAACATGACGAAAAAACTGCTCAGCAAAGTGTAAAAGTTTCTCGTACGATAAACAACACTAGTTAGCTATAAACCTGAAAGTAGTGCACTTACCACCGTTATTGCAAAACTCAATAACTTTCATTATAAGAGGTATACATACTCATACAGATTTCACTGCAGTTCTCATTGATCATAAACATTGTTTGTAAATGTATGGATACGCAAAAGCTTAAATTGAAAGATCAAAATTTTGAACAAAGAAGAACAAATCACCAAGGATTCTCCTAACACGGAACTGTTATCCTTCTAAAGAAAACGCTGACATCAAAACTGGTAAACTCTATCCCTTTTTGTTGCCACCTACCTAAAACAAGTTTCAGATCCTCATGTTACCAATGTTCCGTGCACTAAACCAAAATCTGTTTTAAATTCCTCTACAGCTGAAACAGTTTCAGCAATCAGAAAAACGAAATGAAACAAAAATCAAGATAACTTATCAACTACTATGATAAGTACAACTACTGTCAATTAATGAAAACTAGTTAAAAATAACTATAACATATTACATTACACTACAGAGCTGAAAATAAAACTTACGTTACAAATGCGCAAACTTTGAAAAGTTACAAACGTCAAAATTAAATCAAACATTCAGTAGAATCAACCCGTTGATGATTCCACATATAATTTTTTTTTAGCGTATATCATCGTTCCTATAAGGATGTACATTCATATAAGCAAAATAAACGAAGTTAAGGTGAAAAATATTGCACAGGTATTACAAAACTACAACTTGCACAGTTCGTAGATGTTAAAAACCACTCGCACAACAAACAAGTATGAATTATAATTGAACATACGTAAACAAATGCGAAAAAAAAAAAAACTACGAGAACACATCGGTCTAAAAGACATTTTTGCGCATTGCTGCTGAATCAAAAACCGGATATTTGCAACCAGCACCATTCAGTCAGCCAGCAACGCCGCCACATCATCTTGAAGAAGATGCAGCTGATGAGAACGGGTGCTGTCGCCTTGAATATGCTGTTATTGCTACAAGTAACAGTCAACAGTAATTCCCCTACGGGAGACAATGGACAACTACAGTCAAAGATTCTCAGTAATATCAATCACATCAACAACAATATTAAACTGGCAAATTATCACTAAGATGGTGACAGGGTATGTAAATGCTTAAATGAGCAGTGTCTATCGTCAGAAGATGCTTCAATAAATAAATAAAGAGCAAATCAAAAAAATGTTATTTGGAACCGAGTCAACTGAAGATAGCGATAATAACCGTGGTAACAATGTTGACTGCGGTTACTGCGGCTGAACCATTTTTGAAATCCAGCGATAAATTTTTGATCCAGAACAACCGCTTTGGTGAAGGAAGTTAGCTGTACGTAACGTCCTGTTGTGTTTTATGTTAATTATTGTTCATTCTAACCTACTCTGAAAAGTTTCATCGTACTGCGGTTTGCGAAGCGGCTCTTATCCCCTTAGAGGAAATATCATTTTGTTCCGCTGTTTTTATTAGCAGCAAAAGGTTATTTACCAATTGTTTAACAGCTGAAAATGTGTCGCATTGTTTCACTGAAGTTTTTGAAGTTTGAAGAGTAAAGAAAAGAACTGGTTAAACAGTCATTACTACAGGTTAAACAGCCTAAACTATGTTCGAAGAATATCAGTGGAGTAAATCTGTTGTTCTTATAATTTTCGGTTAGAAAAAAGTGGTTGAAAGTAACTGTGAGTTATGTATTTGCTCCATTTTGAATGTAACGCAAAATTTTTTTGTTTTTTTTTTTTCCTCTTAACTTCTTTCTGAATAGATTTTAGAAGCTGATAAAAGTATGTAATTCAACGTCTTACTGTCGCTAGTGTGTTGCTGTAAAAAAAATGTTGTGAATGAAAGTGCATGTGTAATGTCTATTTGAATTTCAAGAAAGCTCATTTAACCGACTGCTGCTTTTTTTCCCATTATTGCTTTTGTTTTTGAATTCTTTGAAGACATTTTTTGTTTTGTTTTGTCCTGTTTTATCTTGTTTTCCCTTTTTCTTTTCTTCAGCTACATAAGCAATTTATTCCTTAAACAACGGTATATACTTTTTAATGAAAATAAGTTTGAAAAAATTTGGTGAAAATGCATTCATAGTTTTTTTTTCAGTTTTTTTCAATAGCATTTCCAATTTATTATGTTAATATTCACGTTTTTTGACTGGCAGTTATTTGCAAAAAGGATGAAGTTGGAAAATATCAAGAGCTGAATTTTTTCTTATTGGCACTCGCAAGGGAGGGAAGGGAATTTAACTTCTTAATGAACATGACAGACCTTTGTTCAAAAATCATTTTCTTCACGTGTATTTAGACGGTATTTTAGTGCATGTATCAGCATACAAAACAGTGTTTAGCAAGAAGAAAACTCACTGTCATTGGAAGCCAATTCATCACCTACACTTTTTTTCCACTTGTAAACTGAGCTGTGTATGTGGTATATAAATCGGTTCAAGTATGGAGACTACACTATTATAGTCGATATAATTTCTGTCGTGACCAGTGGAACACTGAATTAATTTATGCAAATATAGTGTACAGTACAGACGTGGTTTTT